CTGCTTGGAAGGATCCTGGTTTGTATGGGTAGGCATCTGCTTCCTACCTAAACACATACAGAGTACTTCCAGGAGGGTAATCCACTAGACTTTTTCAGACTAATACTGCATTCAGTATAAACCACAGCAGTTGCAGTTACCTTTCATAAACAAACCTGTTGGCATCAGGACTAACAAAGCCCGATTTCCAATGGATTTTCTTATGGTTGATTGATCTCCAGTTCATTTAGCATTAAGCTGCAGTGTGAAATGCTTTAACTGTTACAACAGACACCAAAATGTGTTGTGACGTTCTTAATGTCCTAATTGTAAGAAATACTTTGGTAGGATCTTGCACTTCACACCTCAGAGAAAACACTGCTCAGGTTTCCCTCTGTAGGTTCTCTAGTAAGCCTTAAACTATTTCTCCCAAAAGTGAGCTCCTTCAGTAACATCTTTCAGTAGAAATACGAGTAAGGGTTCCATTCCTCCACTGCTTTGCAAAATGTATAGGAATTTAATAGCCTAAAGGAGCAGTGGTCTCCGGTATGTACAAAATTCATCAATTCTTCTGACAGTTACTAGTAGCTGGAGGCACATGTGAAGCCAGTGATGACAAAAGCTTGTCTTTCTTTAGAAAGTAGGCACAAGGAGTCAGTAGTGGTTTCTGTGCAGTAGCCAAGTTGTTAAACCTGCTGCAGGAGCACTTGGCCTCCTGGTATGAACATCTATTTCCTGATCTCCTAGGAGGGTGCAGAGCTGCTGGACTGAGAGGGATGGTATTCTCTGGGAGAATGTATAAAATGCAAAATTCATTGGGAACTGGGCTTGGTAGTCCAGTGAGAAGGAAACTGGCCTGTGCAAAGAAATCTGAATTCTTGTCTCTGCATTTGGCAGAGGTATGCGTAAGTAGGTTTTCTGAACATTTTTTACCTCCGAGTATCTGCAGTATCTGGCTTCCACTGTCTGTGCTGTTTGCTCAGTCAGGGCCAGAAAAATGACTAGGCTTCATTCAGAGGGTTCTGAATTTAAAGAACTGGTGAAACATCTGGCTTCTTGCATAGTAAGTTCTGCTAGAAGAGCCTGTAACTGACACTGTTTTGTTATGAACATTTCAGGTACAGAAAGAAGCTCTGGAGTTGCTTAATTCTATATAACAAGAAACAAGATAATGGGAATTCAGTGCCTCAGGTTTGAGCAGCATAGGAAAAAAAACCCAAATACTACTTTGGTTTATTGAAGCTGTTAATAAAAGTATAGCCTAAACCTGCTATCTCCACCTCGTTTCAATTAAACTGTCAACTAGAAGCTCTGTTTCATTATGTGATCCTGTCTGTTGATTTACATGGGAATAAAGGGCTTCATGGACAAGGAGGGGTAGTGCTGGAGGGGAAAGGCTGGGACAGTGGTTGTCCAGGTCTTCAGTTTTTTTACACTGTTCAGCTCCAAGTGATGTATGAGGAATAATAAGAAACATGATTAGTATAACTAAAGAAAGGAGGTATAGGGCCATGACATAATTATAAACCTGCAGTTTTTTCTAGAGCCTTCTCCTGTGGGGTTCAACAGCCCTCAAGAGTAACGTGTCTTCACCTTTTTAGATACTCCTACAGACTTCTCATTGAGGCTGCACAAGCAATCTTGATTCCAATACACTTAAATGCTGGTGTTTCCTGCAAAAAGTGTGGTGGCTTTTAAAAAAAAAAAAAAAATGGAAGTAGGGAACACCTAAGAAAATCCTTTTTGGGTGGTATCAGCGTATGTAGCAGGAAGCTTTCTATGAAATATGAATACTTATTTGCACGTTGAGAGGCTGTGACTTTTGAGGATTTAGTGGCTGCACAATATTTGCTGGACATACATAGTACACCTTCCCCTAGACTATGGTGACAGGAGGAATGCACACTCAGTACATTAGAAAGGAACTACCATTTGGAAGCACACAGCCTTCTGTTTATAAAGTAAAACTTCCTGCTTTTTCTTGCTACAATCTCAGCAGAACTTTCAGCAGCAAAATAAATTAGCTTAAGTTAGATCCAGCATAGAAAACACTTACAGATTTTTCTAAACAATATATTCTATTTACTCAACAGGAAAAGAGGATCAAATAATGAAAAAACCTGTAGGCAAACAAATATGCATGGTGTTGCCAGTAGAAAGTCCAACAATCTAGAACAAATTGACTATAAGTAACTTAGTGTTTGCTTTAATATAAAAGGATATTGCAAATCTGTAGGAGGAGGATGAAGGGCCTAAATTGCTTAGACTAACCGACAAAGCCTGTGCCAAGTCAGTAGTAAAAATCCACAGCTGAGAGACAATCTACATCAGGGGTCCTCAAACTACGGCCCCCCAGGGTCCTCAATCCGGCCCGCTGGTACTTACAGAACTCCCCGCTCCCCCCCCGCCGGGGGTTGGGGGGGAAAACCACGCACCCGCAGGGACTGGGCTGGAACCAGCGCCTCGACCTGCTCCCCTGCGGCGTCCGAGAGGCGCGGGCATCTCCTCTGCCAGGCAAGCTCAGTCGGCAGCCTCCCCTCAGAGACATATCATAATCTCAGGAACCATGCACTCAAAATTGCAACCGTCTTTGGCAGCACCTATGTCTGTGAGCAGACGTTTTCCTGAAGGTCTGAAATCTCCAGTCAGACCCAGACTGATGGACACTGGCATCACTTGCTACGACTGGCAGTGACAAATATGGAACCCAACACTGACCATCTCATTAGCCAAAAGCAGGCCCATGGTTCACACTGAAGTATTATTTTTGTTGATTACAATTGTTCTTTATTTTAAATATTGCATTCTTTTTGCTGTTTTTTGTGCACTACTGTATTTTAAATACTGCATTCTTTTTGCTGTTTTTTGTGCACTACTACAAATAAAATATGTGCAGTGGGCATAGGAATTTGTTCATTTTTTTCCAAACTATAGTCCAGCCCCCAACAGTGTCTGAGGGACAGTGAACCCTGTTTAAAAAGTTTGAGGGCCCCTGATCTAGGGCTTTAATTCTAGCCTCAGATCACAAAACTAGTTAAAAGATTGTTTTCTCCATTACAGTAAATTAATTCTTATTTTTCTATTAGTAGAGTGTCAAAATGGAGTGTTCAATATGTCAGAGTCCTGGAGTGGATGACATGCAGTGTTTCACAGAGATTCGTTGAATTTTCTGCATTCATACACTGCAAAAACATCTGCCATACACAAAATGGCTCCTAGTAGCTTTGTGCCAGAGGCACCTTACTTCTGTGCCTCTTCTGCTGCAGAGAACAGTATCTGCCTGAAGAGGACGGCTGTCCAGGTGCCAGGTATTGACTGGTGAGTGTTTAGAGAAGAGCAGCTGAGTTGCTTTGTTGTAGAACGGAACAAACAGAGCCCACAAACTACACAGTAGCTCCCTCAGGTAGTGCTGCCTCACTGGTTCCCTTGGCTGATCTCCAGCCTTTGCTGCCTTTTTCCTGTCTTCCCTTCCCCCAAGTACAGCTGAATTACGGGGAAGGCAAATGGGAAAAGAAAAAGTTTCAGTGCAGTATTACTGAAATTCCAAGTTAACTGTATGCACACACGGGCCAGGATATTTATCACTGTAGTTGGTTTTTTTTCCCCTCCAGAGCCACGCTTTCAGTCAGTCCTTTCAAACCAATGGATCATCCACATGTACAGAAGGCCACTGGGTTTGGCATTTTCCTTGCTTACTAACCCTCACCCACAGGTAAAACTATGGCAATTATGAGACAGCTAAAAATTATCAAAACAATAAAGCAACTATATTCTTGTAATATGCTGTCTTTTTTATTATTATTTTGTTCACTTACTCACAGATTCACAAAACTGAGCAGTTGGTAGTGGGTCACCGAGACATTCCGTAGTGCAAATCCATTAAGTTCAACTCTAAGACATTTAGCCCTCTTACTTGTCTTTCAGGCAAGCCACACACACTTCTGTTGCCCAGCCTTTGACATTTGTTTTTTGTGTGGTTGGGTTTTTTTTTTTAAGCTTCCTCCAATCTAACCAGCATAAGCCATAATTCAAGTTGATTTGCACTTGAAATTAATTCAATGCTCTATTTATGAAAATGGTTTTGCAGAAGATATTTGGTGTAGTATGAAAAACCCTCAAAGTGGTGGAAATTTTTGAAACTTCATATAAGATAGCAGTCTACTGGGCCTGTTGCACTGCCGCTGTTACCAAAGCTATGTACAGGTGAGCAGCTCCACAGGAAGCTGTGCATGTTGAACACAAAGCCTCCAGAGAATCCAAGATGTAGAAAAATAAGATTTTGGCAGAATTCAGTTGGTGTATTGGAAAGATACATGAACAGATATAGCTATTTTTTTCTGCATGTACACTTTTAACAGTGCAATATGATAGGTTACAGAAGTGTTTCTAATCATATTCTAAGAAATCCTTTTCATGTGTGTACAAAATTCTGTATAAGTTAAATGTAATGGAATTTACAGTTAATATTTAAAACATAATACAAAGGGTAATCTTAAATGTTTTTACTTTATAATAAGGAAGCACAGTTTGCTAGAAGTAGCATTTAATATAATTCATACTAATAAGGTGATAAATTTTATTTTTTTAAAAAAAAACCCCACATCTTTGCAGTTCAGCAAATGCCCTCAATGTCAATAAAACTAATTTTAAAATGGCTTTATATTGTGCACTTAGGACAAACTTGACCTACATAAAGAATGACATGTTTTAAACATACTTAATTCAGGCACATCTGAATTTCTGTAAGGACTTTAGAGGAATGAGAGTATTTAATACTTAAGAATATCTGTGCAAAGCTTACATAACTTTCATTTTATTTGGGTTTATTAGATCCAATAACTGAAACTGAATATGAACATAGAAAGCAGCAAAGTTCACATTACCTTCTGTATACCCTTATAGATCAATTTACATTAATATACTCTAAAGTTGTAAAAAGGACATCACTGATTGAAAAGGGAAATGGAAAACAACAGAAAAAAACCATCCTGTAAGACACCAGACCAAGGAGAGAATGTGTAATATTTTCTTTTTTATTGTTATTTTTTTTCTTTGAAGATTACCTAACATCCTCGTGGTAATAACCCAAGGTAATATGTAAACAGATTTCAATGCTGCTCAAATTAATTAAAATACTCTGTTCAGCTCCTACAGTAAGTCAGAACAGTGGCACCAATTCCTTTCAACATTAAATCACATTCATCTTATTGTACATGACTCTTGTGCAAGTCGTAAAGGCTTTATTCATGACCTTGGCTAGAGGGATCAGTAAAGAGGGATATATCAGCTATTTACGCATTTAAAAAAATTAAACTGACAGAACCACATATTCTGTCGTCTCAAATACCAGCAGCATCTTTCTACATATTTAGGATACGTTTGGCCTAAGCCTTTAACACCTTTTAGAACAGCCATGCAACAAAACAAACTTGGAGATGTTTCTTAAGAGAGAACACAGAGCAGTTTAAACATGTTTCTGAATAATAAAGCCAAGATAAAGCAAATCCAGGCCCTTTTAAATGGCTGCAACTTTTCATACACTTGAAGCTCTATAAAACTAGAGCCTATTAGTCTATATATTTATACTTTTTATATATATTTTAAATAAGTCTCTTGTCTGCTTTCAAAATTTATGAGGGGTTTTTCTGGTCTTTTGGAAGGGCAATAAATAAAAGTAGAAAAGGCTGAACTGTTTTGCATATCTTTGTGGAAGAACGGAGAACAATTATACTTTTAGAGTTCCAGAAAGATCACTGTACAGAACAAAAAGCTTATATACAATTAAGTGTGCAATTTTAGTTGGCTGGGCCTTTTGTTATGCAAGATCTCCTTTTTGACTAGAAGCCACTTCTACTCTTGACCAAATCCCTCTGTTTCTTCAATGGCGAAGAGCAGCTTCTCTTTTAGTTGTTCATAGCTTTTATATGGTGGCAAATCCAAACGATTAAAACTGAGTAGAAAAAAAAAAACAAAATTTTGTTACATTTATCTAAATCCCATGTGAACACAACAGAACTCGACTGCTACAGCAGAAGTTAAAAATGTTCTGATCTAACAATTAGAAATGAAGCAATAGCAATCAATGCAATCTCAGTGCCTTGACATTTCTATGACCAGTAAAAACAGTTTGAGAGGAATACTTTAAGAAACAAGATGTTTATCACATTAGATAAAAAACAGAAGCTTTGGAGACTAAAGACAGCCCAAGATACAGAGAACCACAGTACTCAGAAAAGGAAATGTTCACCATCAAGTTTACTATCATCCTAGTTTGATGCATCTCCAAATTCCAGCAAGAGCATGAAAAAGCTGAATTTTTCTCCTTCCTACACATGCCTGGATATAGGGGTTTTTTTCCCCCTCTAAACTTTACCCTATAATGCTTCTGCCAAAATTCTGCTTCATTCCATGTATTCCCCAAAATTATTTTAGACAGAGGGATGATTTACTCTTGCAATCATCACTTGAAAAAACAGCACGGTGGCGGAAATGGTAAATGGAGGATTCCCTGAAGTGGTTTAAAAGTGTGACTGTGATTGTCACAAAGTTGCCAAAGGAAGGTGTGTCCACTTTGCGGATGGTATAGAGGGGAAACTACCTGCTGCCCAGTTTGGCACAGGAATGCAAAGCCAATAATAGTCTGAAGCTTGTCAGGAAAAAGTATCCTCACTCTAGGCTAAGCATCCTTGTTTTGAACATCTGCTGTGATTTCTTTCACACTACTTTTTCTTATGACTATACATATAGCTTTTATAATGTTACTGTATAATGTGTATCTATTAACTGTATATACCTAATACCAACATGCCTTTGTTCAGTTATTTAATATTCTCTGAAATAAAGAATTTGGGAAACACCTCTTAGTTCTATGTAAGAAGGATGATATCGTACTTTTGATAGATTTGATACTGACAAACTGTGTACAGTGCAGTAGCAAAATTTAAGAATAGGGCAACCAGAAAAGTTTTGAATAGTGGCATGGCAGAGCAATCAAAGAAGCTGAAAATGGGAGATGGAAAACTGATTCAAATTAGATTTCATTTGATTTGGTAAAGCAAGACCAGAAGAGAGAACCACTAAAGGTAAAGAAAGTTTACAACTCACCAAGTGTGACTTCTTGGTAACCAGGTTTCCTTACCAACTTTTTCAATGCAGAATTTCTGAGGACCATTACTTCCTAGAATAGAAGATTAAGAAAAGTGTCATCTGTTCCTTTTAAGTGGCACACATGATATATATCACAGAATCACAGAATGTTGGGGATTGGAAGGGACCTCAAAGATCATCTAGTCCAATCCCCCTGCCGGAGCAGGAACCTAAATGAGATCACACAGGAAGGTGTCCAGGCGGGTCTTGAATATCTCCAGAGAAGGAGACTCCACAACCTCCCTGGGCATATGTGACATAAGACACAACTCAGATACAGCAGACAGAGCTCATTAGCTCCTACTCAGTGTTACATGAATATAAACATTCTGCTCATAGAAATGAGCTAATTTCCTAATAATTTATAAACATATTCATGAGATTCCAGATATAAAAAGCCCTTCTAGATCCAAGCTGATGTACATGAAGTTCCTGCTGTCTGTACACTTTCAGCACAGTTCATCTGCAAATGGAACAGTTACAGTATAGAAGTTTTGGTCACCTTTTACTTACCCATAAGTTCAGCAAATCCACCCAGTGGTAACCTGCAAGTGCCAGTAACAAACTGCAGAAGTCGCATGCGAACCTCGTTGTCCGTTTCTTTTACAAACTAGGCACAGAAATTCAAATTACTTAATAAAAATCTTTAACATAGCTGGAGAAAAACAAAAGCCCCATGAGATTGTTTAAGAAGTATGATTCCATTTAAAAAGATACCACTTTCAAAACAGTTTGCCTTTCTTATTTCAACAAAATTGGGTGGAGGGAGAAGACAGTGATTTCAGATTATATGCACTGTCGACCGTTACAATGGCTGGGAACAGCAAATAAGAAGAATCTTTATCTATATTATTCTACACTAAAATATAAATCATGCCAATGCTCTATATGAACACTATTGCCATTTTGATTAAACACAGCAATAGCCTAGCCACGGGCTCTGGGTATTTCAAGACTGAAGTATTCCCTGCATGTGGCAGTCTCAGTGGGAGAAAACACCATCCGTAACAGCCACATCACTATGTAAGGAAATTCACTGGGAAACAGAAGAGCAAGAAAAGAGAGGGGAGACAGAGAACATCTCAGTAAGAGAAGGGGGCATTAATACAACTTCTGGTAAAGATTCTTTCAGTACCAAGCTTTCTTAAAAAGAGACTGTATCAAATCTTACATTATTCTGACAATAAAAATAAGCTAGGAAATAACTGATTTGCATAATTTTCTTACAGTAACTTCGTCAAAAGCATCTCTAAAATGGTGATATATCACAAGACAGAAACTGCCTAGCTATGACTTTTCTTTAGGGAAATTCATAGAAACTGTCATCCTGTATAGCATTTTTGGAGGTTTTTTTTCTGAAAATAATTCTTAGCCAAGTTCATTAAAATGTGAGTTAGAATCAGTCAGTGTTAGACTGGTATGTTAATATGAAAATAATAATAAAATGTGTAATTTCAGATGCACAGGTGTACTACATAGAAGAACAGTTAGAAGGTAGATCACTGCTAACAATACAAAAAATTATCATTGTATAATCAATAAGAAGGACAAGATATAGAAAAAGTATTCATGACCCTGCCATCCAAATGTAATGCTGGTATCTGCCTACCATTTCCCACTCTAAAGTATGTTCCTAAGAACCAGTAATACTCCTTCCCTTCTCTGAAAAGAAAAAGGAAGGGAAGCAGCAAGAATTTTCATTCAGATGGCATCTCTCCACCCCTCATTTGTGTTACAAAACAAAATCTAGAAAAGTCAGAAATTTTATTGATCCACATACCTGCCAGAACCATATGATCTGCTTGCTATTCCTTGTATAGTGACGATAAACAGTGTTCCTCTGCCAGTCGGCTAAATCAACTTCTTGCATACCACAGAGCATAACCTGGAAAAGAGAATGATTACTTGACAATATACACGTCTACACACATTAATTAAGAGTTAATTTTGTATCTTGCATGAGACACACTAACAAAATGGAAGTTCTTGCTCCAAAAGGGACTGGTAATTTTTTCATTTTACTCCACAGCTAGACTTTCCTTTATCCTAAGTTCACAGAACTCCAAAATTGTTTAAGTGGACTGAAAGCCTGCATACCAGAAACTTACTTTCTTCCGACTAGTAATTTAATAATAACAGATATTACCTTTCCCATACAAGTAAATTTTATATTAAAGAGGATATTAGATTTCCCATTAAAACCCTGCTTCCTGTTCCAAGATGATTATGATTACATTGCTGCTACTGCTACTACTAGTAAAGATAAAACACACTGCAAAGTATAAGTCCGCTATGTATTCATTATGAGAGGCAACAAAAGCTGAGAGAGCTGAAGGCAAAGCCTTCCAGAAAACTGAACACTAAATAAGATCAAAGTTCTTTCTCAGGAAAAAACTCCCATTTAACTTCAGAAGCTTTCAGAACAGTGCCCATCATATACAGGGAACCCTGGCAGGTCTCACAGAAATAAGTAAGCATAGCACTACAGAGCCTTTTGTCCCTGCTCCCTGTACACCAATGCACGCAGCATGGGAACAAACAGGAGGAGTTAGAAATCTGTGTGCGGTCAAGGGGTTATGATCTGGTGGCCGGGAGAAGATTGAGAGGGGATCTTATCAATGTCTATAAATACCCCTATGATTCTGTGGTTCTGTAACTACAAAGACATGGTGGGACAGCTCACATGACTGGAATGTGGTCATGGGTGGCTATGTCCTTCTCAGGAAGGACAGGCCAGCAAGGCAAGGTGGTGGAGTCGCTCTTTACGTGAGAGAGCAACCGCAGTGTATCGAGTTCTGTCCAAGGGCAGAGGAAGAGCAAGTTGGGAGTTTGTGAGTGTGAATTAAGGGGCAGACTAGCATGGGTGATACTGTTGTTGGTGTCTATTACAGGCCACCAGATCAGGGTGAGGAAGTTGATGAGGCCTTCTGCAGACAGCTGGCAGCAGCCTCCCAGTTACAGGCCCTGGTTCTCATCGGGGATTTTAACTACCCAGACATTTGCTGAATGCCTACAGAGCCAGCCATTCACAGTCCAGGAGGTTCCTCCAGTGCACTGATGATAGCTTCTTGATTCAGATGGTGGATGAGCCAACTAGGATAGGAGTAATGCTGGATCTTAGACTCACTAATAAGGAGGGTTTGGTTGAAGCAGTTAAGGCTGAGGGCAGCCTCGGCTGCAGTGACCATGAGATGGCGGAGTTCAGGATCTTGCACAGTAGGAACAGAATACCAAGCAAGATCACAACCCTGGACTTCAGGAGGGCCAACTTTGGCCTTTTCAAGCAATTGCTGGGGAAAATCCCATGGGAAAGGGTGCTGGATGGTAAAGCGGCCCAAGATAGCTGGTTAACATTCAAGGAC